ATGTTGTTCAGGCTGGTCTCAAACTCCAAGTTCAGGAGTTTGAGACCAGCCTGAACAGCATGGCAAACAACATACCCACCTCGGCCCCCGCCCCAAAGTGCTGGGATGATAGAAATGAACCACTGTGCCTGGCCATTTTATAGCCCTTTAAACTCTTTTTCCCCCTTAACTGTACTAGGGAAAGTATTAATTTCTTCCCCTTAATCTGTGAAGATCAGATGCCATGTAAAGTGGCTAAAAGTGGTGGCTAGCAAGGAGTAGGTGGCCAGCAATATACTTTAAAAATGACTCAGGTCCTCTAAGCCTGGCTCATGGGTCATTCCCAGAAATAGAAAAGACAGAGGAGATGATTTAGGGAGTAGGAGACGAATTAATTTTGGTTATGTTGAAATTTTCATCTGAACAAGATAGTCCAGCAGGAAGTTCCCACAAATTGATATACATCTGGGAAAGAAGCCAAGGCTGGCTAGAGAATCAGATTTGAGACCCATCCAAAGAGAAATGATAGTTATATTAGTGAGAGCAGAGCTGCTGAGAGTACTGAGGCAGAACAAATGGACTATGGGCAGACACACATCTTAAGGAAGAGAAGAATGAGAGAAACAAGCAAAGGAGTGGCCAGACAGGTGAGACAATGAGAAACTAGCACAGAAGGGTGGAGAATATTTAGGGCTATTTGGTGATTTTAAAGTTTTTGCAGATGTGTTGTTTTGTTGTTATCTTAGAATTGATGTCATTACTAGAGAAGTTTTATAATAGTCATTAGAAAACTGTAAGCTGCATTTGTGATTTACACATTAAGTTAAAAGAAATAAAACGTCACTTTCTGAAAGTAGAATGACGACACACACATATATACATGTATGAGAAATTGTCATCATATTTGAAAAGGGTAGCTGTGAAAATGTTTTGAAATGTATGATCTAAAACCTTGCCCCTAGTTATAGTCCTGGGAGAATATTTAATGTGGTATGATGAGGACAGCACAAAAATTAGAATAAGACAGTCTTGGGTTCAAATCCTGTGACCTTAGAAAAGTTATTCATGCTTGAGGTGCCTCCATTTTTTCTTCACGAATATCCCTAAAATTTAATCACTAAATTAATAGCAGCATATATTGTATGATAATTAAATAAGACAATGTATATGAAGTACGTTGAACAGTTAGTAAATGTTACCACACTATTATTGTTTCTGTGGAAGATGTTGATGATTATCTTTTGCATTCCTTCTTGTGCTTTAGTTTTAACGCTAGGTGGCAGCAATGCTTTCTTAACCAATTAAAACGACGCTAACTTTCTGGCATAGAAGAGATGGGTGAAGCCTTACCTAATAGGAAGATTAGTGTGTAGGACACCAGCAAAGCAGGGCGGAAAAGATAAATAGAGATAGCAATAGAGATCAGTATAGAGACATCAATAAAGATTAAATGGGGGAGGGGAGAGAGAGAGGAAGAAATTTTAGAAAAAATTTGATATTTTCAAAGGATATGCTGAAATAGTCTTTGTGGGGGAAACTAGATCCTTCCACCTTCCAGAAAATTTATTATTTTAAAATGCATATGGGGAAGTGGTGGGTATCATGTATTTTTATTGTATTAACAACGTTAAGGATCTTAAGTGGTCCTGGATGAGACTTAGCAAAATAGCCACATAGCAAATGCCTGCAAAGTGTAATATGTTTTACAGTTCATTTTAATTTTAGTATTTACGCTAATTATAAAAGTATGACCATTTTCCTCTATATAAAACATTCCTTCTACAATAAGATATTTAGTGGTGTCTATTGCTATCTGATGCTATCTATTGCTGTGTAACCATTATCCCAAAAGTTGGTGGCTTAAAATGAGGAAATAATTTTTTTTTCTTGAGACAGGGTCTCATTCTGCCACTCAGGCTGGCATGCAGTGGTGACCATGGCTCACTGCAGCCTCGACCTCCTGGACTCAAGGGATCCTCCTGCCTCAGCCTCTAGAGTAGTTGGGGCTATAGGCGTGGCTACCACATCCAGATAAGTTTTTTTCTACTTTTTGTAAAGCTGGGGCCTCACTATGGTGCCCAGGCTAGTCTTGAACTCCTAGGCTCATGTGATCCTCCCGTCTCAGCCTCCCATAGTGTTGGGATTACAGGCAAGAGTCACCATGGCCAACTATGATGAACATTTATTATCCCGTATTTTCTGAGAGCCAGGAATCTTGGGGTGACTTAGCTGGGTGGTTCTGGCTCAGCATTTCTCATGAAGTTTCAGCCAAGACCTCAGCTGGGGCTAAAGTTATCTAAAGGCTTGACTGGGCCTTGGAGAATCTGCTTCCAAGATGGCTCAGTCAACATGGTTGGTGGCAAAGGCCTCAATTCCATATGAATATCTCCATAAGGCAGCTTGAGTGTTCTTTCAAATCGCAGCCAGTCTCTCCTGGGGTGAGTGACCCAAGAAAGACCACAAGAAGGAAGCCACTATAACTTTTTTTTCTTTTCTTTTTTCTTTCTTTTTTTTTTTTTTGACTCTCTTTCATCCAGGCTGGAGTGCAGTGGCACAATCTTGGCTCACTGCAACCTCCGCCTCCCGGTTCAAGTGATTCTCCTGCTTCCACCTCGAGTAGCCGGGACTACAGGCGTGTGCCACCATGTTCAGCTAATTTTTGTGTTTTTAGTAGAGATGGGGTTTCACCGTGTTGGCCAGGCTGGTCTCAAACTCCTGACCTCAAGTAATCCACCCGCCTTGGCCTCCCAAAGTGCTGGGATTACAGGTGTGAGCCACCATCACAATAACTTTTATGACCTCATCTCAGAAGTCATACACTGTCCACCATATTTGTTCACAGTGATTCACACAGGAAATAACACAATTGTCAGGAGTTTTATAAATATGCTGGAAATGGAGTTCCTGTATAGAGAAATCACAGGCCTGACCTCCTCTGGTGTGGCCCTGGATCTATTTCTACATCTAGAAAAAGAGAACACGCCATGGAACCATGAGGATCTTCACTTCTAAGGTGGCCTGTCCCCTATCTCTGTCTCTGTTTTTTTTTTTTTTTTTTTTTTTTTTTTTTTTTTTTTCCAAGACGGGGTTTCACCATGTTGGTCAGGCTGGTCTTGAACTCCTGACCTCAGGTGATCTGCCCGCTTTGGCCTCCGACGTGCTTGGATTACAGGCATGAGCCACCACGCGCAGCCTCTGTCTCTGTTTTTTCATCTCTGAAATAAAATCACCTAAGAAAGTGCCTTTCAAATTTTTTAGACCCATTTTAAGGACTGTATTTTACGTTGAGCCTGAACACACACACACACATACACACACACAAACACACCTATGTGTATATGCGTATGACGGAAATGAAAGTGCCACAGAACAATACCTTCTTACACTGATTTGTGTGATGTACTTTATTTGCCATCCTATGCTAACTCTTTTTTAAAATTCAGGCCAAAATCTACTACACTGGCCTCACAATCCATTGAGGGTTTCAACATTCTTTGTGGAAAGAAAACACCCACTGTCACTCCTTGGTGCTCACTTTTCATTGGTACTAGAGCAGAAATGCTGAAGAGCGAGCAAGTCCTTCTAGTTTATGGGAGGCACAAAAGCACCTTTGAAATATGGGTCAGCCCTGCAAGCCTATTCTAATTAGAAGGATCAGAGGTTGCATGTCAGGTGGAAAGGTTACTTTGTTTATCTTTTTTTTTTTTTTTTTTTTTTTTGGAGGGGGTTTTGCCCCTGTTACCCAGGCTGGAGTGCAGTGGGGCCATCTCGGGTCACTGCAACCTTCCCCTCCCGGGTTCAAGCGCTTCTCCTGTCTCAGCCTCCCGAAGCTGGGACTACAGGCATGCGCCACCACAACTGGCTAATTTTTGTATTTTTAGTAGAGACAGGGTTTCACCATATTGGCCAGGCTGGTCTCGAACTCCTGACCTCGTGATCCTCCCGTCTTGGCCTCCCAAAGTGCTGGGATTACGGGCATGAGCCACCGTGCCCGGCCCATCCACCGCGCCTGGCGCATCTGTGTTTATCTTTAAAAGTTGGCTTTTTAATTTGCCACGTGACTCTGGGCAGTCCTTTAGCCACCCTGAACCCATTCGTCAGCTCCACAATTGGAATAATGAGTAGTATCCCTCTTGCCTATTTCATAAAGTTATTGTTAGGCTCACAATCAATTAGGCACTTATTGCGTGGCGGAAAATCTCAGGGCAGGATCTTTAATCTTCACAACAACCCTCTAAGATATAGAGCATTATCTTTGTTTTATATGAAGAAATTGAGGCTTAGAGCAGTGACATATGCGAAATCTTACTGTTAAATCTTAAGTGGCAGAGCTAGAATTCCAAACCAGTTCCAACACCAAAACCCTCACTCAAAATGGAAATGTAAGCTATTTTAATTTGACCATAAGGGGTGGCCATCTGATGTATTCAGATGAAGAAATATGGAATCACTACAGTGTAATAATGGCTTTAGAATCTGATCTTGCCTTGCTTTGAACACGAACACCTAAAACATCACACGTGGGCCTTGAGCTCACTGCCTTCACCCACTGCAGCATGAGACACTGACAACAGGGCTTTGGTTCCCGGTTCCCCAGATGTCAGCAGCCAGGACTGGGCGCATTTCTTTAAATGGCGCCCCCAAAAGAAGTCCAGAGAGCTTCGATGCAGCCCCCGTACGTTGGAAAGCAACGTATATTTCCCAGGAAAGGTCTGGCTTACAGCCCTCTCTTTGGCTAGTTGGCTGGGTTCCGAGAGCGCGGCCTGCCCCGGCCTAGTCACCGGAGAGCGGACCCCTGGTGGGTGGGATGGGCCCCACAAAGCCCTTTATTGAGGTTCTGGCGTGACGTGGGGCGCCCCAGACTCGGCGCCCGCCGGGAGCGGGAAGGAGGCCGCGGGGCGGCTCCGAGGTGTGTGCACCGCCCTGTGCGCTTAGCCGGCGCGCTCTGCCCTCCGCCCCTCGGCTGCGACCCTCCGAGCCCCTCGAGCCCCGGTAACCAGGCCGCCGGCGCCAGCTCGCGGGAACCCGTCACCCTGGAAGCCCCGCGCCTGCAGCGCGTTCCCGGCGAGTCGGAGGCCGGGTGGGGCCCCTGCGTGGGAAGCAGCCGAGGCTGAGGCCGGTCCCTTAGCCGCGGGCTCTGCGGGCGGCCGAGGCCCCCACCTGTCCCGGGAACCGGTTCCTCCCGGGCCCTGCGCGTCCGCGGAAGGGAAACCGACTCGCCCTGAGTCGGCGCGCAAGGGCGGGGGCGCGGGAGCGGTGCTGAGGGTTCTGAGTGAGCGAAAGAAAGCCTGGGGAGGATTGTGCTCCGCTGCAAGTGCCCGGGCCGGGGCGGGCGGAGCCTTCGGTAGCTGAGCGCGGCCGCGATCAGACACACGTTGGCACAGCGGTGCTGGGGCTGGTCTGGCAGGCTCAGGCAAGGGCAGAGTGCGCGACGCCGAAACTTTGTCTCAGGATGACGAAACTTACCTGGCATTTTCTCCTTTTTCGGTGGCAAGAAATGAAAAAAATGAGTTCATGGAAAATGAACGAGAACACGGTTTTACATTTGGGGTTCAAGTTCAATGAACACATTAAGGACTTTCTGACATTCAGATATGTTTTTCCTATTATTTGACAGCAAAATATTCACATAAGAGGCATTAATTAGGTGCGTTGCAATCATTTCAGGTAAAGTGAACAGAGTTATCTGTGACATTCCATCAGGCACCTATATAAGGAAATCGTACTGTAAAAACTCGACATGGCTTATGGATTGCCAAGAAAGAACACAGTGAAAACCATTTTGCGGGGCCGTTGTTATAATGTGTAAGTGTTTTTTTTAAATCAGGGTAATCATTGATTGGGGTGGGGAGTATCTTTGCTAAATAAAACGACTGAACACTGTGCTCCCATGAGATACTGGGCTATACGAAGTACTTTCAGGTGTCTGGGTTCTGATTTTTTTAAAAAAGGCAACTGCTTTTATAAGAATAAGTTAATTATCTTCCTTGTCTTTCAACACAACACTTTAAAGTGAGAAAATTGAGGTTCAGGAAAGTCTGAACAAAGTCACAGTTCTGTAGTAAGGAAATGCCAGATTTCGGAGTCTTCTTGTTCTAAGACAGCGTTTTCTGCTTCCACCTACGTCTTTTAAAAAACTTTGTTTAGATTCTCCACATCTTCCAGAAAAAAGCCCTGTTGTCAGATGTATCTTAACAGAGCACCTAATTAGCTGGTACAAAGGGTCGGTTTTGAATCCTGTATACTTTGGCAGGCAGTGGATGGACAACACATGCTTTCCAATCAAGAAGACCTGGACTGTCATCCTGGCCCTGCCCCTGGCTCCCTAAGGCCACCCCTCTTTGTACCTTGATCTCTGCATCTACAGGATGCATATAACAATTGGGTATGCGGTGTGGACTATAAATGAAGTTGTGTAGGTAAAGAACTTGCGCATTGCCTGTCATCCAGTGAACGCATAGTGAACACATGTTGCAACCACATAAGTAGCTCCACTCTGTGGTATCCTAGGGCAGTCTTGTTTTCTTTTTTTTTTTGAGTCTTGCTTTATCGCCCAGGCTGGAGTGCAGTGACACTATCTCAGCTCACTGATGCAACATCTGCCTCCCAGGTTCAGGAGATTCTCCTGCCTCAGCCTCCCAAGTAGCTGGGATTACAGGTTCCTGCCACCATGCCCAGCTAATTTTTGCATTTTTAGTAGAGACAGGATTTCACCATGTTGGCCAGGCTGGTCTCAAACTCCTGAACTCAAGTGATCCTGTCTCGGCCTCCCAAAGTGCTGGGATTACAGGCATGAGCCACCGTGACCAGATGGTCTTTTCCTTTCTTAAATGTTTGATTTTGTTCTGTTAATCTCTCTGTCACAGCTTATGACATGTTTACCATTAGGCGTCAACTGAATTTGTCTGTTAAACAATATTCTATGAAGTAAATGAGAATTCCCTGTGGGGTTATAAAACCAGAGCTGTAGGAAATTCAGAGAAAACTCACTGTTGCATTTTGTTTAGTTTTGTCAGTTTAGTATGTGTTTAGATCTTGAACTACAGGCAAGTACCATTATACTAAGTATCATTACAAATGTAATTTTTAGTGAAGATACTCCTATTTCTGGAGAATGATTTAAAGCACTGATTCCGTGGTTTTGCTTATGCAGAATTTTATATCATGAACAATCTCTGCAGGGCTTTCTCTTTCATTCTCTCAAGAAAGTATTTGATATCATATTATTTATGAGAATAGCTAAGTCAAGAGGAACAGAATGGTAGTAGTGCTCTTTGGAATTCATTTGCCAAGGTAACTCCTTACCTGGGGCTTTTTGTGATTCAGTGTTTTTAAAAGATTGAGAAAACAATACACTGAAAACTTTCAAGCAGTATAGAAACATATGACAGGAAGATAAAAATGCTCTCCCTCCCCATTCCCATTCCTGGTCCCACTCAGAGGTAAAATGTCTTATATGTTTTCTAGGATTTCTGTGGCTACACAAGACACACACACGTATACACACACACATGTCTTTTTAACACATGAAATGGTATTGAACTTTGCTCTGCCCACCACCTTCCAATATATCTTGCATAGCCTATTAGGTAAGAGCACTGATTCTGGAGTCTGACTTCCTAGGTTCAGATCTCAGCTTCACAACCAATGGCTTTGTCACCTTGGGCAAGTTGTTCTCTGCTCCGCAGTTTGTTTCCTTCCTCCCTCCCTCTTTTCCTCCCTTCATCCCTCCCTCCCTCCCTCCGTCCTTCTTCCTTCCTTCCTTCCTTCCTTCCTTCCTTCCTCCCCCCCCCCCACTCCTTGCCTCCCTCCCTCCCTTCTTTCCTTCCTTCCTGGCAGGGTCTCACTCTGTCACGCAGGCTGGAATGTTGTGGCACAATTGCATCTCCTGAGCTTGAGCAATCCTCCCACCTCAGCCTCCTGAGTAGCTGGGACCATAGGCACCTGCCACCACGCCTGGTGAATTTGTTTTATTTTTGGTAGAGATGGGGTCTCACTTTGTTGCCCAGGCTAGTCTCAAACTCCTGTCCTCAAGTGATCTACCTTAGTCTCCCAAATGCTGGGATTACAGGCATGAGCCACCACGCACAGCTGGAGATCTTTTTTATCGAGACAGGATATCACTCTATCACCTCAGTGCAGCCTCAGCCTTAGCCTCCTGGGCTCAAGTGATCCTCCTGCCTCAACCTCTTTTGTAGCTGGAATCACAGGCATACACCACCACCTTCAGCTAATTTTTTGATTTTTTGTAGAGATGAGATCTCTTCACATCACTCAGGCCGGTCTTGACCTCCTGGCCTCCAGGGAGCCTCCTGCCTCAACCTCCCAAAGTGCTGGGATTATAGGCATGAGCCAGCATCCCAGCCTACTCTTCAGTTTTCTAATCTATAAAATGAGGATAGTAGTAGCACCTGTCTCTTTCATAGGGTTGTTATAGTAATTACATGAGTTCCTGTGTGTAAATTGCTGAAAACAGTACCTAATAGTAAGTGCTATATAAACATTAACTATTTTATTGCTTATCTTTCCAAATCAACAAAGTCCTTATTCTTTCATTACGTGTATGGACCACAGTTTGTTTAATCAGGCTCTTCTTGATAAATATTAAGGTGAGGTGATTTTCTTTCTTTTTTTTTTGAGATGGAGTTTTGCTCTTGTCACCCAGGCTAGAGTGCAGTGGTGTGATCTTGGCTCACTGCAACCTCCAACTCCTGGGTTCAAGCAATTCTCCTGCCTTAGCCTCCTGAGTAGTTGGGATTATAGGCGCCTGCCACCACCCCCAGCTAAGTTTTGTATTTTCAGTAGAGATAGGGTTTCACCGTGTTGCCCAGGCTGGTCTTGGACTCCTTGATCTCAGATGATTCACCTGCCTTAGCCTTCCAAAGTGCTGGGATTACAGGCGTGAGCCACTGCGCCCAACAAATGACACTTCAATGAACTTTCTTATGCATTTTTGTAACTTGTTCAAGTACATCTATAATAATTGTAGACTCTAAGTCACTCCTGAAAGTTAGATGATGAAGTATCGGGAAGCTGGAACAGGCAAACAAAGGGGTGACTGGTATAACATGGTCACTTCCCCTGCCTGGGCCAAAGCAGGTCTTTCACTTTCTTCACGCATATGAGGCTGAACTCATATTGACTGCAGATGAGAAACATGTAGTTGATATTTTCAAATTTCAGAATTAGGTGAATGAAAACAATTTTTAAACATTCATAGTGGTTATATAGCAGTTATTTTGAATGTTGTAGTTTGGAATTTCATCCCCATTCCCAGATCGCACACACAAAGCCTGGCCTGTGCCAAGTACCCTGCTAGTATATGATTATGTCCTTCTTTCCTTTTTTAATATAACCATATATATATATTTTTTGAGACAGAGTCTTGCTCTGTCGCCCAGACTGGAGTGCAGTGACAGAATCTTTGTTCACTGCAGCCTCCACCGCCTCGGTTCGAGCAATTCTCCTGCTTCAGCCTCCCAAGTAGCTGGGATTACAGGTGCCTGCCACCACGCCCAGCTAATTTTTGATTTTTTTTTAGTAGAGATGGGGTTTCACTATATTGGCCAAGCTAGTCTCGAACTCCCGACCTCAAGTGATCAGCCCACCTTGACCTCCCAAAGTGCTGGGATTATAGGCGTGAGCCACTGTGCCCAGTCAATATGACCACATTTTTATGAGCTACAAAAGACTCTGGAGCTTACAGTTCTTACCTACATCCTCTTACATGGAAAGATTGGATTGACTCCATGGAGGCTGAATCAAAGTTCCTGGCATAATTTCTGGCCATTATTCAGCATGATCTCTACATTAGCTAATATAAATCTCCCTCTCCTGTCTGGAAAATTCTGAATACCTCCCCCTGATCCCCCCCATAAACCAAAATGTCTCGTGGAAAATTGAACTGAGAATTAATGTCTTCTGCATCTCACATAGTAGGCGTTTAACCAATATTTATTGAATGAATAATGAATTTTTGTCCCAGACACGAACCTTGGGATCTTGCACTGCTTACAAAGACCTGGTACACGAACCTAGCCAATATCAATTTGCCTTTCTTGGAAGAAATTTCATTTGGTCGTTCTGTGCAGCTCACAAAATGTAACCCTGTTAAAGATGGACTGCTCCCTTCTGCAGAATGTAAGTTCTTTAAGTTCTGCTTTCCTAAGTTATTAGTTGTGTGTGTCATTTGCTTATCAGAGAAATGTTTAAATCTGTGCATTTACACCCATACCTTCTATCTTTGTAGCTGTGTCATCTCATTTATCATTCAAGAATGTGGATTTTGCTGTATGATATTCAGTTTTGAGTTAGTTATGCCTGATGAAAAATGTCAGATTGTTTTGTATATTTTCTTTTTCAGCCATCAAACTTGAAAGGGAGTATGAAGTGAAGCGTCTCTGTAAACTTAAATGTCAAGAAAATATATCTGAGGAAATTCAGCTTCTTCTAAGGGAAAGGCCAGCCGGTTTGAGAAGACCTCTTCCATCTAAATGACAGTCAGCTCATGACTAAATCTGTACTCTGTCTCTTGCATCCAAAGGGATGAAGGTCTGTGGACCTTCCACTGTGTAAAGTTCGGGGCAGATATTTGAACGCCCACTGGCGGATGGGCCACCGCCCACAGCTGTGGGTTAGTGGGCAGCTCTGACAGATCTTCTGAGTCCCTGACATACTCTTGTTCCCTGTATCACAAGCGACTGTAAGTAGATGAAAATGCATTTGGAGTTGAGTCTTTTGAGCTATTCATTTTAATTTTTGTAAAATTGCACTAAAAGGAGAGGAACCTTCTTGTCAGCTGCATTGTTTTCAAGAGACATTTTGAATACGCATCTTTGAATCCCAAGAAGGGACCAAAAACAAGGCAAGAGAGAAATTCTCTTAAAAATGATAAACTGAAGCATTTTGTTTGGTTAAAAAAATGATAAACTTCATTTTTAGTTTCTCTCTTGTTTCCAATTTTCAATGAAACATCATTGAATATTCACATGTGATTCTTTAAAGTAGCAAGTAGAGCTTACTTTGTTTTTGTTCGCCTAAAAAATTGTCAGGCTGGGGGTGATGGCTCACACTTATAATCTCAGTACTGTGGGAGGTGGGAGGATCGCTTGGGCCCAGGAGTTTGGGGCCAGCCTGGGCAATATAGAGATACCTGGTCTCTACAGAAAATTAAAAAATTAACTGAGCATGGTGCTGTGTGTCTGTAGTCCCAGCTACTTGGGAGGCTGAGGTGGGAGGATCCCTTGGGCCCAGGAGTTGGAGGCTGTATTGAGCTGTGATCATTCCTCTGCACTCTAGCCTGGGCAGCAGAGTGAGAATGTGTCTCAAAAAAAAAAAAAAAAAAAAAGTCAGTCTTTTTTCTTCTGCCTAATTTCTTATTTTCTATCTGGAATGACCCTGAGGCATATGGAACACACATACTTATGTGAAAGTGACATGAAAATACACAGAAGGTCTTACAAGGAAAACAGAGTGACTGGGGGATGAGGAATTGATTAACTGGAAAGTATTGGATTTGGATAAACCAATTCTAGCATTTGAATCCAATAAAACATACTTGGATATTAATGTTGCATTTGAGCACAGTTTAGTGTTTTTTAGATGATTCACTAGGCATTTTAGGATCTTCTGGTATCTTTTATTTTTTAATTTTTTTTTTCACCCAGGCTGGAGTGGAAGTTTCACTGCAACCTCCGCCTCCCAGGTGCAAGCAGTTCTCCTACCTCAGTCTCCCAAGTGGCTAGGACTACAGGTGTGCACCACCACACCCAGATAATTTTTGTATTTTTTAGTAGAGACAGGGTTTCATCATGTTTACCATGATGGTCTCGAACTTCTCATCACAAGTGATCTGCCCACTTCAGCTTCCTAAAGTGCTGGGATTACAGGTGTGAGCCACTGTGCCTGGCTGATCTGGTATCTTAGCTTTGTTATGAAAGACACTGTGGCATGCTGTTTAAGAGGATAGACTTTAGACCGGGCTACCTTTCTTCAAATCCCATGTCAGCTGCTTATAGCATGGGGAGAAATGCCGGATATAGGCAAAGGGGGAATAGAGGCAGCAAACCACCTGGTTATGTACGCATCTATGCAACAACCTTGCATAACCTGCACATGTACCCCAGAGCCTAAAGTAAAAAAAAAAAAAAAAAAAAAAGCAGCATGGAGAATTTGTGTGCAAAATATCACATCCTGATGTGGCCACTGTGTAACCCCAGAGCATAGATATCATTTTTGTGATCTGCCCTCTGGAGTCACCAGGGAACCCTAAGCATGCCACACCTCACCTCACAGCCCAGAACTTTTAGTTAATGGTGTTAATTGGGGGTAAAATTAATATACTTCCATCTGTTGTCCAAAAGACCATCAGGATGGCTAAGCAGTGGAAAAGAGAGTTTTATTGGCGATATCAGTTTGCGAATTGGGAAGAGAGTCTCTTGAGTCGACTGAAGGTGCTCTTTCCTCGAAGAGGGAAAAGGCAGGCTGGGTTTTAGGCCTCCCAGGGCCTGTATCACACAATAGAGTAATACGTATTCAGCATGTTTTGGGGAAAAGGTATACATAGGTATGAAGGTAGTCAAGCACATGTGCAATGGTAAAACATGTATGTAACATACTTCCCATGTTCACTTTGGGGTGGAGTTTTATCATTAAAATGAGGTGGAGTTTGGCTCTGCGTCAAAAGTGAACTACAGGGTGCAAAGACGGCTCGTTAGCACCCTCTATAAGCTGGCAGAAACTGGCTTACGGCCTGCAATTGCTTATCAGCAAAGAAGGTTTGTAAGGCTGGTCCTCTGTTCAATCAGAGTTGCAGTGGTTTGGGATGTGAATCAGGGTCAGGAGGGCTATGATAGCTTCTATTGTTATGGAGTTTAGCAACAGTTTGGTTTTTCTTCTGGGGCAGGAATTTAGGAAGTTGTCATGCCAACTGAGCCCTGAACCCTTGACCCCATAATCATTTTTATTTCCTTAACATTATGGACCATCTTAGTTAATAAAGAGGCATCAGTTTTGATCTCTCAGATCACACATTATTTTTCATAACACTTTGTCTTTTTTCTTTTTTTCTTTTTCATAACTTTTGAAAGTGAATGAAACATGTATCTGTTTGTAAAAAGTTTGCCAGAATAAAGCATTGTAATATTCCTTGAGAAAAGATGGAATTTGAGAAAGCTTTATTTCCTCATGATTTTCTTAAGAGTCCTGCTTCCAGCTTTAAGATTCTGTTAATCATGATTCTAGGCAGATGTTTCTGAACCTCTGAAAACTGCATATATTGAAATAAAATTACATTGCAAAATTGAATAATATGTGTATATGTCTCTCTCTCTCTTGAAATGCCCTAAAAGCAGGAAAGAAATGCTTTCTTATGTTAGTGTTCCAATGCCTAACTCATATAGGCACTCAGTAGACATTCATTGATGAAAATTTTCAGGGCCGGGCACAGCAGCTCATGCCTGTAATCCCAGCAATTTTGGAGGCCAAGGCAGATGGATCACCTGAGGTCAGGAATTCAAGACCAGCCAGGACAACATGGTGAAACCCCATCTCTACTAAAACTACAAAAAATTAGCCAGGCATGGTGACACGTGCCTGTAATCCCAGCTACTTGGGAGGCTGAGGCAGGAGGAGAATCACTTGAACCTGGGAGGTAGAGGTTGCAATGAGCTGAGATCATACCATTGCATTCCAGCCTGGGCAACAAGAGAGAAACTCTGTCTCAAAAAAAAACAAAAACAAAAACAAAATTCAGATGGTGAAAGATCTATAATAGAATGCACTTGATAGTTGCATTCTTATATTTTATTTTTTTAATTAAAATAAATTTTTTAGATACAGGGTCTGGCCCTGCTGCCCAGGCTGGGGTGAAGTAGCATGATCATTGCTCACTTCAACTTTGAACTCCTAAGCTCAAGCAATCCCAGCTACTTGAGACTATAGCTACCTATCATCCCACCATGTGTAGCTAATTTTTTTTAGTATTCTTTTTACGATAGGATATTTTTGTTTAAAGCAGGAGATAGCCATGATATGGTTAAATATGGGGCTAAAACAGTTCAAGACAAAAGTCAAAATGAACAAATATAAAATTTTTACATAAAACATCTTAAAGTTATAACAATTTAATTAAAACTGATAACAATTCAACTTCAGTGGCATACAAAAATTCAACTTCTTTGCATCTCCACTTTCCTGTACTTTGGGATTGATGCCAGAAATTATATCTTTCTATATTGTGTATTCATTAACAATAATTTATATTTTTTATGCTTTTGTTTTTAGATTCTATGCCAAACTTAAAAGTGATCTACACATTACAATACTATAGAATTATATATGTATATAGATGTTTTTATATATATGCACAGCCATATATATATACAGGTATTGATTGACTTATGACCTATGCAACTTACGACAATTCGACTTTACGACCACAATCACTAGCCACAACTGCTCCGCGTCTGGCAGTGCAAATGTTGCCCAGCTGGGCGTACGACAGTGCGGACCAGCTTCCGGCAGCACTACCATCTCCGTGTGCATATAGCCTACTCAACTTACGACCAAATCGTGTTACGACCAGTCGGTCGGAACCAATTGTGGTCGTAAGTCGAGCACTAGCTGTACACACACACACACACACACTCACACACACACACACACACATATATATATATATATTTTTTTTTTGCGACAGAGTCCCACTCTGTTGCCTAGGCTGGAGTGCAGTGGCATGATCTCAGCTCACCTCGACCTCCACCTCCTCGGTTCAAGCAATTCTCCTGCCTCAGCCTCCTGGGATTATAGGCATGTGCCACCATGCTCAGCTAATTTTTGTATTTTTAGTAGAGATGAGGTTTCGCCATGTTGACCAGGCTTGTCTCGAACTCCTGACCTCAGGTGATCTGCCTGCCTTGGCCTCCCAAAGTGCTGGGACTATAGGCGTGAGTCACTGCGCCTTGCCTAATTCTACATTTTATCTACATATTTACCTTTACCAGAGAGCTTTATATTTTTCCATGGTTTTGTGTCCTTTTATTTCAACTTGAAGGACTCTAGTATTTCTTGTAGAGGGAAGGCCTAGTGGTAATGAACCTCCTCAGCCTTTGTTTATCTGGGAAAGTTTTAATTTCTTTTAAATTTTTGGAGGACAGCTTTGCCAGACATAGTTTTGTTGGTTGGCAGTTTTTTTCCTTTTAGCACTTTGAATACATTATCTCACTCTCTTCTGGCCTGGAGGGTTTCTTTTACTTGAGAGGGAGTCTTGCTCTGTCACCCAGGCTGGAGTGCAGTGGTGTAATCTTGGCTCACTTCAACCTCTGCCTCCTGGGCTCAAGAGATTCTCTTGCCTCGTGTTCCTGAGTAGCACCACCACGCCCAGCTAATTTTTGTATTTTTAGTAGAGAGGAGGTTTCACCATGTTGGCCAGGCTGGTCCCAAACTCCTGACCTCAAGTGATCTGCTCACTTTGACCTCCCAAGGTCCTGGGAGTATTGGCGTGAGCCACCACACCGGGCCCTGGCCTGCAGGCTTTCTGCTCAAAAATCAGCGGGTAGGCTGGGCTTAGTGGTTGATGCCTGTAATCCCAGAGCTTTGGGAGTCCAAGGTGGGAGGATTGCTTGAGACCAGCAATTTAAGAACAGCTTGAACAATACAGTGATACCTGGTCTCTACAAAAAATAAAAAGAAAATTGGCCTGGCATGATAGTGTGTGCCTATAGTCACAGCTACTCCAAAGGCTGAGGCAGAAGAATTGCCTGAGGAATTCAAGGCCATGGTGAGCTATGA